GCCGCCTCGAGCCCCGCCCCTGCCGCCCCGAGTCGCGCGCAGTCCCGCCCCTGCCGTCCTCAGCCCCTGACACCCCCGACCTCTGACCCGGAAGGCGTCCAGGCGCCGGTTAGTGCCTGCTGGGCTCCGCCCGCCGTGGTGTGCGGAAGGGGCCGTCGGCGCACCCAATCCCGCCGCCGCCTTGCTCGCGTTCGCAACTGGCGGGTCTCCGCCGGACGCCGGGCTCGTGGTCCGAGGGTGGGTGGCGCCCGGGAGTGTGCGGTGCGCTGAGTGCGTCTCCACAGCCGGCAGGACCGGAAGTTAGCCGCTCATCCCCGTCCTTCCCCCCCATCTCAGCCCTGTTTTGGGGACCCCCACCCCCGTGGGCCACAGCACGGGAAGGGAGTGGCGGGAACGGGGCGCCGGTGGCGGCTGTCCTGATGAGGACGGTCCAAGTCTTGGGAACTGGTGCAGAAAATGGTGGCTCACGCCTGTAATTCCAGCACTTTTGGAGGCCGAGGAGGGTGGATCGCTTGAGTCTAGGAGTTTGAGACCAGGCTAGGCAGTATAGGGAGACCTCGTCTCCACAAACAATTAGAAAGTTAGCCAGGCGTGGTGGCCCCCACCTGTATTCCCAGCTGCTCAAGAGGGTAAGGCAGGAGGATCGCCTGAGTCCAGACGGTCGAGGTTGCAGTGAGCCTTGAACGTGCCACTGCACTCCAGTCTAGACGACAGAGTGAGACCCCGATTCAAACAACAACAACAACAAAAGTTGCTCTAAGTGCCATAAAGGTGTTTTTAGTCCACTGGGGTGTCCACTGTTGCAGGCACGAGAGAGGACTGTGAGGATTCCTGACCAAGCACATCGTATTGACTCTTGTTTACGTAGCTGCGTGGTTCTCCATCCCGGCTGGGTTTTGTTTTGTTTTTAACCTTTTTTCTTTTACATGGCTTTTTGCAGTGTGCAGTGTTTGTTTTTAAATCCGAGTTGATTCTGATGTAAATCGTTGACAGAGCTAGAAAATTCCGAGGCCGTGATTTTCCAAACTCAACTTCAGAACCCGCCCTGGGTGAACTGTGACTTTTCTATGACATTTTCCTCTGAGTATTGGTGGACACTACATGACAGACCACCATTTTCACTTTCCATCTTTTTTGCAGTACACATGCTAATATTAAAACTGTCTGAGGTGTCTTAGGGACATTTGTATTCACATGCCTTTTGAAAGCTAGCCAGAGTGGACAACTTCAGCTGCAGTTTTTGTTTCAGAGCTGAGCAAGCATGAGCCATTTGCAGGCCTTATTGTTAGATACCCTGCTGGGAACGAAGCATGTGGACAGTGCAGCCCTCATCAAAATCCAGGAGCGGAGCCTGTGTGTAGCGTCACCAGGTTTTAGTGTAAGCAAAACAAATTCGGGGCCGTGCATGGTGGTTTATGCCTGTAATCCCAACAATTTGGGAAGCGGAGCCAGGAGGATTGCTTGAGCCTAGGAGTTCAAGACCAGCCTAGGCCACATAGGGAGACCTAGTCTCTACCAAAAAAAAAAAAATCCAAAAAATTAACCGGGTGTGGTGTTGAACGCCTGTAGTCCAAGCTACTTGGGAAGCTGAGGTAGGAGGATCTCCTGAGTCCAGGATGTTGAGACTACAGTGAACCGTGATTGTGCCACTGCACTCCAGCCTGGGTGGCAGAGTGAGACCTTAATTCAAAAAGAAAAAAGAAAGAAACAAGTTTGGGCATAAGACTTATTCCACAAAGAGCCACAGTACATATTCTAGGTTTGAAGGTATCTTTGTTCGCTTAATGCTGCTATGAAGGAATATCTGAGACTGAGTCATTCATAAGAAGACAGGCTTGTTGAGCTCATGAGTCTGCTGACTGGGAGACTGGGCATTCAGTGAAAGCCTCTGGCTGCTTCCACACGTGGGCAGAAGGAGCCCATGTGTGCGTAGAGGAAGGAAGGGGGTGGTGCCAGGCTCTTTTTAACAACCAGCTCTTCCAGAAATAATAGCAAACTCACTCTCACAATCCCCTCCCCCAAGGAGCATCCATACCCTTGACCCAAACACCTCCCATTAGGCTTCACCACCAACATTGGGAATCCCATTTCACCATGAGAGTTGGAGGGGACAGACTTCCATACTATAACACCAGGCCTTATAGTCTCTCACAGCCACTTAACTCTGCACTTGCAATGGAAAAGCAACCATAGACAATACATAAAAGAATGGGTATGGCTGTGTTTCAATACAATCTTATTTATGGATACTGAAATTGAATTTTATATAATTTTCAAATGTGGCAAAGTGTTAGTCTTTTGATTCCCCTCCCCAATTATTTAAAAATGTGAAAACCATTCTTAGCTTGCAAGCCATAAAAAAAACAGGCAGTGGGTCAAATTTTGCTGGCCAACTGGGTTTGCTGACTCCGAATCTAACTATATAACCTCTTCAGGTAATGCCCAGTGATGTCCGAACACTTGTGAATGGATTTGCCAAGAACCCTTTGCAAGCCCGAAGGGAAGGATTGTATTTCAAGGAAAAGGATTACAAATGTGTCCGGGCAGATGAATATTCTCTTTATGCTAAGAATGTGAGTGCTCAAGATTTGAAGACAGCTGTGTAAAACTTAGGCAAGAATTTGACTCTGATTCTCTTTGTCTCATCTGGTCTATAAAACAACAAACTCATACCTGTAACCCCAGCATTTTGGGAAGCTGAGGTGAGACCATTGCTTGAGTCTGAGTTGAAGACCAGCCTGGACAACATAGCAAGACCTTGTTAGAGAGAGAGCGGGAGGGAGGGAGGAAAGGAGAGAGAGAGGAAAGAGAGAATGAGAGGGAGAGGGAAGAAAGAGAAAAAGAGGAAGGAAAGAAGAAAGAAAGAGGAAGGAAGAAAAAGAGAAAGAAGGGAGAGAAGGACGGAAGGAAGGAAGGAAGAGGGAGAAGGAAGAAAGAAAGAGGAAGGAAGGAAGGAGAAAAAAAAGTAAACCTATTACTATCTAGAGGCACTGTCTGAGATAGCAGTCTAGTGCCTGGGGTGGGGGCTGGAGGGTACTGTCATTCCTGTGCTTAAAACCTCTCTTGTTTTTTTGTTGCTTATAAGGAATACAGGAGGTGAAATTCATATTTATTGAATGTCCTAGGCACACTCCATTCACATTATAAACTACATAGGCTCATTATACAGATGAGGAAACTGAGGCTTGACATAGTTAAATAGCTCTTCCATAGTCATGTAGCAAAAAATGGAGGTGCGAGGGTTCAAGCTCAGAGCTAATTCCAGAAGGTGTTATCTTTCCATTACATCAGTTGTTCTCATTGGCATAGGGTTAGATTACAATCATTTGGGGAACTTTTTCAAAATACACATAATATTATTACAACAGTCTGAAACTTTTTGAGGAAAGGCAACTAAATTAGTGGAAAAGAGTAGACAGTCCAGAATAGGAATCAGGATATCAGGAAATGGTGAAAAATGTAGCTGGAGCATAAATGCTGGTCCTGTGGTTAGAACCACGAGCAAGATATTCTGTTTTATTTTTATCCAGGAAAACACTGGTGTGGTTGTTGTGAAGACCCATATGTATCTTCTGGTGGCAACTTACACTGAGGGCATGTATCCTAGTGTCTGTGTGGAAGCCACAGAAAAGCTGGGTAAGTTTGCCTCCCAATGCCTGTCTTAATTCCCTGTATTAGTCAGGTCCTCTGACTACAAGTGACAGAGATTCAACCAGCTGGGACAAAAAAGGAGGAATTTATTGGAAGGACACTGGAGTTGTTTACAGAACCACTGGGAGCGTAGGGTGCAGCTGAGCCACAGGGAAAACAGATCTCAGATGCTGGAGCACTCCTAGGATTCTGTCTTGTCTCTACTTCTTTTTTTTTTTGAGGTGGAGTCTCACTCTGTCGCCCGGACTGGAGTGCAGTGGCCACTCCCGGCCACCACAGCCTCGACCTGCTGGGCTCCGGCGATCCTTCCGCCTCAGCCTTCCAAGTAGCTGGAATTACAGGCATTCGCTACCACACCCGGCTGATTTTTTCATTTATTGTAGAGATGAGGTCTCGCTGCCCAGCCAGGTCTCGAACCCGCGGGCTCAGGCAATCCACTCACCTCCGCCCCCCAAAGGCGGGGGATTACAGGCTGAGCCACTGAGCCCGGCTTGTCTTTGCTTCTAAGTAAATCAGTTTCATTCTGCCCCATTGCAAACTGCTTCCTTTCATGGCACGTGTTGTGGCCACGCCTCCCATCCTATCCCTTAATTTGTCTTAGGACCCTGACTTAGCAAGCATTGGGTCATGTGGTTTACTCCTATTATCAGTCAACTCTGTAGGAGGGGTGAGGTGGGAGAGTGGGAAGACAGCAGGTTAAAAGAAGCAGAGATGGGCAGGGCGCAGTGGCTCACGCCTATAAATCATAACACTTTGGGAGGCCAGGGCAAGAGGATTGCTTGAGCCCAGGAGTTTGAGACCAGTCTAGGCAACATAGTTGAGACCTTGTCTCTACAAAAAAAAAAACATTAAAAAATTAGCCAGGTATGGTGGTGTGTGCCTGTAGTCCCAGCTACTCAGGAGGCTGAGGTGGAAGGATCACTTGAACCCAGGAGGTGAGACTACAGTGAGCTGGGATGGTGCCACTGCACTCCAGCCTGGGTGACAGAGTGAGACCCTGACTCAAAAAAAAAACAGGGATTTAGTTGCTGGCGTTCACCCTATATACAGGGAAATGTTACAGGAAAAAAAATTACTGTGAGCCAGGAAGCCACCTCATTGATATATATTACATTCCCCTTCTTTGTCTATATATTTTTTGGTCATGAATTTAATATCAATCAACACAATCTGAAATGGGCATGAGAGATTTTAGAGACTAGTGGTTTTTTAAGACTGTATACATTTTTGAATAAAGATTTAATAAAGAGCCGGGCTCGGTGGCTCAGCCTGTAATCCCGCGCCTTGGGAGGCTGAGGTGAGTGGATTGTCTGAGCCCGCGGGTTCAAGACCCGCTTGGGCAACTTGGTGAGAACTCATCTCTACAATAAATCAAAAATTTAGCTGGGTGTGGTAGCACACGCCTGTAGTTCTAGCTACTCGGAAGGCTGAGGCGGAAGGATTGCCAGAGCCCAGCAGGTCGAGGCTGCGGTGGCCGGGAGAGGCCACTGCACTCCAGTCTGGGAGACAGAGTGAGACTCCAACTCAGGGAAAAAAAAAAAATTAATGAAGAGCTAGCTGGGAAATTATATCTGTGAGAGTTAGTAAGTGGTAAATTTTGTTTATGTTTAGGTTTTTTAAAACCTAAACATAAAATTCTAAAAAAAAAATTATTGAAGTTGTGTAAACAAGCTTTCAAAATGGTAAAAAGTTCTAGTAACAAAAGCAGCCATTCATTCATTTTTTTCGACAAACACTCAGCAGTGCTCCACCACGTGCTTTGCACTGTCCTAGAGAAACAAGAGAATCAAAGCTGGCTAAAATATAGCCTCTACCTTCTATACCTCTACACATGCTGTCCTGTCTGCCTGAAATGCATTCCAGTTCTGTCCCTGCTCCTCACTTCTAGTTGGCAAATCCTAATCATCATTAAAGACCAAGTCATGTCTTGAGCTTCTCTCCACTGTGGTATGAGTTTTATGCATACCTTTATTATGATCCCTTTAGAGTTCTTTGTTGCTCTAGACTGTGAATCCCTGGAAGGCAAGAATTTTTCTTCATCGTTCTCCTAACTCCACTACCTAACACAATGCTAATGTTGGGTAGTCAATTAATTCGTGTTTGGTGAACAAATAAATGAATTACTTCCTCCTAGCAGAATCAGGGAAGGCTCCAGGGAGCTGAATCTTAAAGGATTAATTGAGAAATTAAGTACCATCACAGAAAGATACAGAATACCTTACTTTATTGCATTTCAAATTATTGTACTCCATGGATTTCTTCCTGCAAATTGGAGGCTTTGGGAACCCTGCATTGAGCAAGTCCATAAGTACCATTTTTCCAACAGCACCTGCTCACCTTGTATCTCTATTGTCACATTTCGGTCATTCTCTCAATATTTAAAACATTGTTATTATTATTGCATCTGTTATGGTGACCTGTGATCAGAGTTCTTTGATTTTACCATTGTAATTGTTTTGGGCACCTCGAACTGTGCCCATTATATTAAAACAGTGAATTTAATCAATGGATATAGTGTGTCCTGACTGTTCCACCAGTCAGCTGTTTCTCCATCTCTGTCCCTCTCCTCAGGCCTTTCTATTCCCTGACACAATACAGTATTGAAATTAGGCCATTAACCCTACAATGGCCTCTAACTATTTAAGTGGTGAAAAAAAAGTTGCATGTCTCTCACTTTAAATCAAAAGCCAGAAATAATCAAACTTAGTGAAGAAGGCATGTCAAAAGTCAAGGTAGGTCAAAAACTAGGCCTCTTGAGCCAAACCGTTAGCCAAGTCGTGAATGTAAAAGAAAAGTTCTTGAAGGAAATTAAAAATGCGACTTCATGAGCACATGAATAATAAGAAAGCAAAACAACCTTATTCCTGGTAAGGAATAAGTTTTAGTGGTCTGGAAAGATCAAACCAGTCAGAACATTCCCTTAATCCAACACCTAATTCAGAGTAAGGCCCTAAGCTCTTCAATTCTACGAAGGCCAAGAGAGATGAGAAAGCAGAAGAAATGTTGGAAGCTGGTAGAGGCTATTTCATGAGGTTTAAGGAAAGAAGCCGTCTCCATATCAAAAACACAAGGTGGAGCAGCAAGTGCTGATGGAGAAGCTGCAGCAAGTTCTCCAGAAGATCTAGCTAAGATTGTTGATGAAGGTTGCACTAAGCAACGGATTTCCAGCATAGATGAAACAGCCTTCTACTGGAAGAAGGTGTCATCTAGGACTTCCACAGCTAGAAAGAGTCAATGCCTGACTTCAAAGGATGGGCTGACTCTCTGGTTAGGGACTGATACAGTTGGTTCTTTAAGTTGAAGCTAGTGCTTACTGACCATTCTGAAAATCCTAGGGTCCTTAAAAATTATGCTAAACTGGCCAGGCATGGTGGTGCAGCCTGTAATCCCAGCACTTTGGGAGACCAAGGTGAGAGAACTGCCTGAGTCTAGGAGTTTGAGACCAGCCTAGGCAACTTGGTGAGACCTTGTCTCTACAATAAATCAAAAAATAAGCTGGGCATGGTAGCACGCGCCTGTAGTTCCAGCTACTTGGAAGGCTGAGGCGGAAGGATCGCCTGAGCCCAGCAGGTCGAGACTGCGGTAGCCATAAATGTGCCACTGCACTCCAGCCTGGGCAACAGAGTGAGACTCTGACTCAAAAAACAAAAACAAAAACAAATATGCTAAACTACTCTGCCTATGCTCTATAAATAGAACAATAAACCTGGATGACAGCACGTATTTTTATAGCTTGGTTTACTGAATATTCTAAGCCCTCTGTTGAGACCTGTGCTCAATAAAAAAGACTCCTTTCAAAATATTATTGCTCACTGGCAATGCACCTAGTCACCAAGAGCTCTGATGGAGGTATACAAGGAGACTAATGTTGTTTTCATGCCTGCTAACGCAGCATCCATTCTTTAGCCCATGGATCAAGAAGTAATTTTGGCTTTCAGGTCTTCTTATTTATGAAATAAATTTCATAAGGCTCCAGCTGCCATAGACAGTAATTCCTTTGATGGATCTGGGCAAAGTAAATTGAAAACTTTCAGGAAAGGATTCACCATTCTAGATGCCATTAAGAACATTTGTGGGCCGGGCTCAGTGGCTCAGCCTGTAATCCCAGCATTTTGGCAGCCCGAGGTGAGTGAATTGCCTGGGCCCGTGGGTTCCAGACCCGCCTGGGCAACTTGGCGAGTCCTCGTCTAAAAAACTAGCCAGGTGTGGTAGCGCGCGCTTTTCATTCCGGCTACTAGGAAGGCTGAGGTGGAAGGATTGCCGGAGCCCAGCAGGTCGAGGCTGCGGTGGCCGGGAGCAGTCACTGCACTCCAGTCTTGGCGGTGGAGTGAGACTCCAACTCAAAAAAAAAAACAAAAAAAAATTTGTGATTAATGGCAGTAGGTCAAAATATCAACATTGACAGGAGTTTGGGAGAAGTTGATTCCAACACTGAGGGATGACTTTGAGGGGTTCAAGACTCCAGTAGAGGAAGTAACTGCAGATGTGGCAGAAATAACAAGAGAACTAGAGTTAGATGTGGAGCCTGAAGATGTGACTAAACAGCCACAATCTCATAATAAAATTTGAACAGATGGAGATTGCCTCCTGTGGATGAACAAAGAAAGTGGTTTCTTGAGATGAAATCTACTCCTGGTGAAGATGCTGTGAACATCGCTGAAATGACAACAAAGTATTTGAATATTACATAAACTTAGTTGATAAAGCAGTGGCAGGGTTTGAGAGAACTGGCTTCTATTTTGAAAGTTCTGGCCGGGTTTGGTGGTTCAGCCTGTAATCCTAGCACTTTGGGAGGCCAAGGTGAGTGGATTGCCTGAGCCTGCGGGTTCAACGGGTTCGAGACCAGCCTGGGCAACTTGGTGAGATCTCATCTCTACAACAAATCAAAAATTAGTTGGGCGTGGTAGCGCGCGCCTGTAGTTCCAGCTACTTGGAAGGCTGAGGCGGAAGGATCACCACAGCCCAATAGGTCGACGCTGGGATGGCAGTGAGTGTGCCACTGCATTGCAGTCTGGGCGACAAGAGTGAGACTCCAACTCAAAAAAAAAAAAAAGAACTACTATAGGCAAAATGCTATCAAACAGCATTGCATGCTACAAAAAAATCCTCATAAAGGGAAGAGTCAGTTGAAATGCCAGGCTTCATTGTCTTATTTTAAGAAATGGCCACAGCACCCACTAACCTGATCAATCAGCAGCCATCAACATCCAGGTGCAAGATCCTCCACCAGCAAAAAGATTACAATTTGCTGAAGGCTCAGATGGTCATTCAACAATTTTTTAGCAATAAAGTATTTTAAATTAAGGTATGCATATTTGTATACATAATGCTATTACACACTTAGTAGACTACATATAGTGTAAACATAACTTTTATATGGAAAACCAAAAAATTCATATGACTTGCTTCATTGTAATATTTGCTTTATTTCAGTGGTCTGGAACCAAACCCATAGTATCTCCAAAGTATGCGTATGCGTGTGTGTGTGTGTGTGTGTGTGTGTGTGTGTGTGTGTGTGTGTATCCCCCAACACAAATGTGTACAGACCTTCCCTGTTGTCATAAATAGTTCCCAGTAGAAGACTACTGAAAACTATGCTACATAGCTGGCAATGCCATGTTCTGGGAACAAATAGAACCGAGCCTGGTCAAGATACAACTTAGAAAACACTGAACAACAGGTGTGAATCCAACCCAGGAGGAACAAGCAATTATAACCACCATGAGCTCTTTCTAAGCAGGTGTCAGGATTTGAGGGAGGTTCTGTTTCAGTAGGGTAGGGCAGGAATAGAAGGCAGAACAAAGACACAAGAGATCTGAGCTAATTACCTAATTTAAATCTCCAGAAAATTAGCCTGGAAAGATAGACAACTGGGCTGTCAAGAAGCCAGGCTCTTATCAATCAACTAGGGCCCAGGGCTAATTCCCCAGAGAAGACCAAAGAAATTTTCTGACCACAGTAATGTAGATTCTGTGGCTGCCACTGAAGGTTGGTATTCTTGCTTATGGCTACAAAAGGCTCCAAAGAATGTGTGATTAGATGGACACAGTTGACATCATGCCACCAAGTTCCCACTGCTATGGGAAGGGATGGGCTATCTTGGAAGTGACTGGACGCTCATTAGGGATGGACAAGGCTGATACCCACTCAGGAGCCAGTTGTCTTACGACTTACTTATCTTTCCTTCACTTCTTTTCCTTTTAATTATATTTTTCTATTAAAAATGTATGCATGATCATTGTAGAAAATTTGAGGGGACCTGCATAATCAATATTTGTATACCTAACCCTGAATTGTACCCCACTACTTTATAATTTTAAAAAATAGTTTTAAAAAAGAAAGAAAATTTGGGAAGTAAAGAATTATGACCATTAACAAATTTTGTTATGAAAGATTCTGGGAGCATAACTATTTATTACAGAAAACCTTTAAATAATAATTAGGAAAAGGATGCTATACTACTTCTCTAATGCAAATTAATCATTTTTTTAAAACAAACATATTAAAGTCACATACATTTGTAAAATGTTAACATCTTTAATTCTAGATTCTCAGTTTAAAAAAAGAAGCGTAATGACCAAGTGTGCCTATAATTCTAGCACTTTGGGGAGGCTGGGGGTGGAGGATCATTTGAGACCAGCGTGGGCAACATGGCAAGACCTCATCTCTACAAAAAATAAAAATAAAAAATGAGCCAGCTGTGATGGCATGTGCCTGTAGTTCCAGGAGTTTGAGGCTACAGTGAGCTATTTTCATGCCACTGCCTTCCAGTCTAGGTGACAAGATCTAGAGCAAGATCTTGTCTCTAAAAAGGAAAGAAGGAAGGATGGAAGGAAGGAAGGAAGGAAGGGAGGGAGGGAAAGAAGGAAGGAAGGAGGAAGGAGAGGAGGGAGAGAGGAACTTCAACTCATTTTGTGACCTATGTACAGCATTATTATTTAATTATCAACGAATTAAAATTTTCTTGTGACCTCTCTGTAAACTAAAGTTGGGAGATACACTTAATGCCTTAGAAACCATTCAAGTTTCCTAATTTCTTCATTTAAGAGATGCCTTACTCTGTAACTGAATCTATGTGTTAAAGAACTAGGCTCTGTGCTTTGATAGTTACAGATATGGATAGAGGTAGATACTTCATAGTTTTGATATTTTGTTTATTCTCATGAATATTTCCTCCGGGACCTTATCACCAAGCCTCAGCATAGATCAGTGGGAAAATGTGATTCGTTTTGCATAATTTACCTTGCAGTTAACTTTCAGGAGTCTGCTTCTTTTGTCACTTAATACCTCCCTGATCTTCCCCCATTCCCGTCTGTCATGACTGCAATTGAAGAGGCGAGGCAAGTTAAGTAATATCCAGCACTCAATTTAAGAAAAAGTAGAATTTTTGAGGAGTGAAGCATCAGCTTTCAAAGTTTTAAAAATCATTAATAGCTTATTTAAAAATGGACACATGCCTGCAGTTCCAGCTACAGAGAAGCTGAGGCGGGAGGATCATTTGAGCCCAGGAGGTCAAGTCCAGCCAGGGCAACATAGCAAGATCCCATCTTTTTTAAAAAATGAAGTGCTGTAATCAGTTTTAAAGCTAAGTCATAAAATACACATAGGAGAGAAAGGCAGAGGGTTCTTTTGCTCCCCTAAACTCTCTCCTATCCTGTTCCCTTCACCCAGCCACATGCATCCTTTTTCCTGTTTGTATGGAGAACCAGTTCATACTCCAGGATGGTTCAGATACCTCTATTGTGGCATTTATTACCATGAAATAGAATTGTTGTTTGTAATCCTGTCTCCCCTACTAGACAATGAACTCCATGAGGGCAGGGACTATGTTTTAACTATCCATTCCTTGTATCTCCAGTGCCTAGCACATGGTAGTCACCCAACAATGTTTGTGGAATAACTAATGAATGAATAAATCATTTTGTAGTGATAATTTACTACTCCTAGGTAATAACCATGCTGTGTTTGTTTTCAGGGGAATATCTAAGAAAAAAAGGAAGTTAAGTCATCAGAGGCCTATGAAAGACAACTTTATTATTGTAAAAGAAAACCGGAGAGCCTAAAGAAAAAAATACTACCTTATTTTGTTATTGAAAATCACTAGGTAGAAGATACTTAAAAAGAAGAATACTGGAGCAATGTTTATTATTTCAAGAGATCCTCTTCTTTCATTGGAATTACTTCATCAGCTTCTTTTCTGGTCATTCGCATGGAATGTGAGAGCACTGATAGCTTCATGGGATATATCTGTTGTGAGACTTCCCTCTGTGAGGCTCTTATACTCCTACACACCTTGCTTGGTATACCAAGAATGTAAGGCCCTCACCAATCTGGGTAAAGATGGGATAGGCTGTTTCTTAGGGTTATGTTGCAGCAAGCAACCTTGATAAATGAAGTGGTGTTTCTCTTCAGGACAAAGAGCAAGATTGCTTACTGCTTGCTATAAAAGAAGTGGAGTCCCTAAGTCAGTATTCCCTTCCTGTAATGCAGTTCACTGCATGTGTGACATCCACCTGTCCCATATCACTCCTGTGGGACTTGGGGGAAGGGGAACCAATGCAAAGGCCATTCAACAATGGGCCAGTAGTCAAGAGACTCAATGGACAGCCCACATTCTTATATTCAGGCATCTGGGATTGTTGAACATTGGAAAGGCCTTCTCAAAATCAGCTCAAAAAGATTTCTGTCTCTACTCCCTCACTGTGTCCCAATCCACAGAAGTTTTCCCAGACAGAGTTCATCTTCTTTTGGCCTCCTGAATGTTGATCAGAACAGTAAGGGTGAGGAGTTATGGAAGCTACCATAAAAATTCAAGATTCCATCCTAATCATTCCTAGACATAATGTATCTTTCATTCCCTAACAGCAACCCCAGGTCACCCTGGTTGGGTACCTTTCACGTGTCCCTGGGGAGAGAACACCTTAGACAACTGGCAAAAAAAAGGGCCTAGGGAATTCAAATTTAGTTCTGATTTGACCAGGTTGGATTGGCATGGTCCTGTATCATGAAGATGATGACCACTTAGTTGAGTACACTGTTTTCCAGGTTCCTCTACAAGAGGGGATATAATGAGTCTCTGTAAATTTTATAAACATGCCCCTGTCTTTTTCCACATCTGATCTTTCCAGACAAAATATCTGGGTGCGAGTAGGACAAATGTGGAGAAGAAGTGTAATTGTAGCTGCTGGGTTGAGACACACCAGTTGCATGGCCATGGAGGCCCTAGCTTCTGAGTAGGGAACACTTCAGGAGATGGAGGAATCGGGGAGCTCTTCAGTGTTGTTTTGTTTTTGTTCCCCAGAGTCAGTACCTCTTCCTAGCAAATATCATGTGGTCTAACTTACTAGCTTTTGTAAAGTAAAATCAAATCTTAGACCCTTTACAGTTCTTAATATTGTCAGGCGGCAAGGTGCAGTATTCTGAATTCCAAAGACACGCTGTCTAAGGTAAGGTGTCTTTTGTTTGTGTTTAAAAAATGCTCTCATTTGCAGGATTTGTATAACAGCCTTTCACAGAGCATACTTCCAACATCATTCCTTTTCTGAGCCTGAGTGCCAAGGACCACAGATTTTTTTTCTTGGTGGTCAACCTTACCATTAGTCTATTCATTCATTTATCTATTCAGTAGCTTGACTTTTTGAGCAAGAGATAAAAATCAATTTAAAATTCACTTACTGAACTTTCATTGAGTAGCCTGCTATGTGCTGGGTAGTGGATACAAAAGTTAATAATACATCTACTCCTCAGGTAGGCTCACCATCTAGTTAGGAAGGCACACTGCAAATGAATCATATCACTTGTGATAAATGCTGTACCAGCTATAAACTAAAGAACTACAGAGTGCAGAGCCCTGAGCAACCAACTGTGCCTTCAGAAACCTGAAAATGGCTTTGAAGTGAATCTGGAAGAATAAATAAGTATGGAAGAGAGCAAGGAGCATTCCCGGCTGAAGGAACGGTGTAGGCAAGGCACAGAGTCATAAGAATGCCTGTTGTGTGAAAAGAACAATAGAAAGCAGCAGGTGTGGGGGAATGAGAAATGAAACTGGAAAGATGGAATGGGCCAAAATAGAAAAGGCTGCTTTCCTCAGGTCACATTAAGCAGTGCTGTGATGTAGATAGTAGTTTTAGAAAACTATTAAATTCTGGTTACAAAACTAATGTACGCTCACTTTTTTTTTTGAGTTGGAGTCTTACTCTGTTGCCCAGGCTGGAGTGCAGTGGCACACTCACAGCCACCCCAGCATCCACCTGCTGGGCTCAGGCGATCCTTCTACCTCAGCCTTCTAGGTAGCCGGGACTACAGGTGCATGGCACTATACCTGGCTAATTTTTTGATTTAATGTGGAGATGAGGTCTCACCAAGTTGCCCAGGTTGTTCTTGAATCTGTGGGCTCAGGCAGTCACCTCACCTCGGCTTCTCAAAGTGCTGGGATTACAGACTTGAGCCACCACGCCTGGCCCACTCACTTCTAAAATTTCACATTAAATGAAAACTTCTGTGGAAGGTTTTATTTCTTTGAATCTTTTCTGATGCATGAAATATATATGTTCTACCCTTACCTAGATCCTTAACAAGTATAGTTGACAGCCCACCATGTTCACTTAGCATAAAGTTATGAAAACTTGAATGTCATTAAATTGTTTCAAAAACATTTTAAATAATAGCATATTATATCATCTAAACAATATCATTCTTTGTTAGATATTTATATTATTATTACTATTTTTTGAGTTGGAGTCTCACTCCGTTGCCCAGACTGGAGTGCAGTGGCACTCACCATAACCTCAATCTCCTGGGCTTAAGCTATCCTTCTGCTTCAACCTCCTGTGTAGCTGGGACTAAAGGTGCATGCCACCACATCTAGCTACTTTAAAAAAATTTTTTTTGAGCTGGGCTCGGTGGCTCAGCCTGTAATCTCACGCCTTTGGGAGGCTGAGGTGAGTGGATTGCCTGAGCCTGTGGGTTTGAGACCCGCCTGGGCAACTTGGCGAGACCTCATCTCTACAATAAATCAAAAATTAGCCGGGCGTGGTAGTGCGCGCTTGTAATTCCGGCTACTCAGAAGGCTGAGGTGAAAAGATCACCGGAGCCCAGTGGGTGGAGGCTGCGGTGGCCAGGAGCGGCCACTGCACTCCAGTCTGGGCGACGAAGTGAAACTCCAACTCAAAAAAAAAAAAAAAAAAAAATTTTTTTTGTAGAGACGAGGTCTGGCTATATTGCCCATACTGGTCTCGAACTCCTGGGCTCAAGCAATCCTCCCACCTTGGCCTCCCAAAGTGCTAGAATTACAGGCATGAACCACTGCACCCAGTCAATATTTATATTATTTCCACTTCATACATAATGTTACAGTTTATAATTTTTACATAACTCTTTGTGTCTCTGATTTTTTTCCTTAGTACTAGAAGTGCAATGTTAGGGTCAGAGTTTGAGCAACTTTACAGCTCTATCAAATTTTGTTTTGTTTTGTTTCTTACAGGGAAGGAGTTTTACACCATGGTTTTTAACCAAGAGTTGAGAGTTTGTGGGGTGGGGCTGGGAGGTCTCAACGCTAATGTATCAGCCTCTTATGCTTATGGGTTAGGTCTGAAGCAGTCTTACCGAGACTCCCAGTGGTTGAGAATAACAGGAAATACTATAGTCAGTTGAACTAACTGAGTCAGGGACTGGAGAAGCAGGTTATTCTTTGAACTCCAAATAATGCTAAATCATGGTGACCTTGGACAGTCACACCTGTGCAATATAGAGATACTCATGAGGTTTGCAGGACAAGCCAGGAAGCATTTGAGGACTTATAACCACAACTCCAAACAAGGCCACGCATGCTGAGGGTACAGCTAAACAGAAGACTGAGCTATCAGTGCTTCAGGCTAAAGGTATGTTGTATTATCAAAACAGAATGGACTGGAGCAGAGACATGCCAAGAATAGCTTTCAAGTCCACAAGAACATATGAATATGCTGATATCTATATGGCAGGAATGTGTAGCCACAAGAAGTGGAAGTCAGTCAGCCAGGGCCCATTCAAGATGGGAGGATCTTTGAGCAAACAGTCTAAGTAGTCTGGTACTTTCCAACAATAATCCTATGATAACAATTAAGTGTCCTACAGTTCAATTTTAACACTACCTGGAGTTAGTGCAGACCCACAGGATAATGGGTTCATTTCCCTCAAGACTGTACCCACTTCAGATGCCAGACACAAGTCCCAGGTCCCCAAGCTACCCAGATTTCTGTCTGACTTGGCTACAGATTGGGGGAGAGGGTCCCATGACAGATGAGTTTGTTCATTTGCTGGAATGACCGTCAGAACTTAGGAAAGTACTATACCGTACTTCTGATTGCAATTTTATTATAAAAGATACAACTCAGAAACAGCCCAATGGAAGAGATGCAGAGGACAGGGCAGTGGGGAGTGAAGCTGGGATGGGAGCACAGAACCTCCATGCCTCTCCAGACACATGACCCTCCCACCATAGCAATGTGTTCATCAACCTGGAAGTCTCCAAACCTTGTCATCTCAGGGTTTTTCTACAGGTTTTCATAATGTAGGCATAATTTATTATGCTATTGGCTACATGACTGAACTCAATGTCTATTCCCTTTTCCCTTCCCGAAGTTAGGTCTGAAAGTTCCAACCCTCTTATCATGGGGTTGGTTCTTCTGGTGACCAGTCCTCACCCTAAAGCTATCTGGCACCGCCCCCATCCCATGCCCCCATACAAATGAGTCATCTCATTAGCATGGGTAACAAAAGACATTCCTATCACTTAGTAAAGTCCAAGAGTTTTAGGAGCTCCGTGCCAGGAACCAGGAACAAAGACCAAATATATTTTTATTATCTCACATCTGGTCCCAGTGGCAAGGTTGTACCTGGGGTGGAGGTAAATATATCTTGCTGTCTTAACCAGATCAATTATGAAACATTTAGTTCATCTCAATCAACCCATCTTGTCCTGAGTCCTGGCTCACCATGTAACTTTCCACATACATCTACCTATAGATTTTGGGGTTCAGCCCTCAAGCCAATGATTTCTCCTTGTAAATTAACACATTGACGTCTGGATTCTGTAACTCAGTTATGTGAACTGTATACCCACTCTCCACGTGCTGTAGGACAACCCAACCTTTCAATGCTTGGTTTAG